AATCTCACAGACCTCAATTTGTACTCAGTGAGGCATGTGCCTGGCTTTGCCACTTGTTTCCCATTTCTTCCATGGTAGAAAAATGGTTGGCGGTCAAGTCTTTATTTCATTAGGTTGTTGCAAAGATAAAACTAGAAATATTAAAACAAAAAAATCTAAAAAAGAGCAACTAATTTCCTGATCATTTTAAAGACATGCAAAATGTGACATATCTCAAATGACCAAATAACAAGCCAATCCTTTATTCAAAGAGATTTCTAAACTCTTCTATAAACTAAACTGTGTTCATTTATGAGAACTGCTACATATACTGCTATAACTGTAGGATTACTTAGGTAATGAACATAAAATCCTCTCTATTCAGATAGTTGTTATCCATTAAACTAAGTAAAATCACCCTTAAACGTCCTGACTCTTCCACCATAAAAAAAAAATAAAAAAATACTGTTGTGGCCTAGCAACAATGTGGTTTTAAAATACTTTCCAGATCAGTGAACTGTGCAATACCTTCAAAAATGGGATGACAAAAGGTCGCAGTGGGAAGTTAGTGGCTTCTTGCAGTTTGGAATGAAATTCTTCAATTGTCAAAGTAGAGTTCTGTGAATGAAAACATAGTATAAGTACATTTGCCTCTTAGTAAAATAGTAAGAGCATTGAAAGCAATAACTGACTAAATATAACATCATAATAAGCAGACACAAATATATAAGAAGCTACAGTATAAATGTAAAATCTCTAGGTTTAAAAAATAAGAGAGTTCACCATATCGTTCATCTCTAAAATGTGAAATCTAACATATTCACTATGGTATTTTGAGTATAATATACATAGATTTTTACTTAAGTTCCTGGCGAACTTTTTGCAGTTATAAAGAATCTTCTAATACTCCCTTTATAAAATTCAAACACACTGGGATTTTTTTCAAAAGCATAACAGATCATTTAAAAGAGCCAGAAGCAAGTGTCTCAATTCTTCCCACATGGCACGTCAGTCACTGTCTCAGTTCTTCCCACATGGTATGCCAGTCAGTGTCTTGTGTTGAAAATACTCTTTTTCCTGTCTTTCCATGTTGCATCTCTCTTTATCTACCCAAGCATCTCTGTTTACTATGTAAAGCTCAGTTGGTTAGTATGGTCTGCTGATGGTCAAAGAAGAGGTCTGAATCTCCACATGTCAACTGAGTCTCATAATCATTACACTTTGTTAACAAACAGGATAACTCTAACTCATAACAATAACATGGGACAAAGTAGGAATTGTCCCCTAAAGTTTCCAAGATTATATAATCTTTATAAAAGCAGACTGCCACATCTTTTTTTCCCATAGAGAGACCAGTGGATTCAAACTGTCAACTTTTCAACTAGTGATATAATCTTTATTATGTCACCAGGGTGACTTCTGGGTCTTATTATAGTGGGTAAAAATCACTCCCTAGTTATCCATTAGGGTGCTGTGACAAAGAGGTGTGCTATCAGCCTAAAGACATGCAGTTCAAATCCACCAGCTGCTCCATAGGAGAAAGATGGGCAAACTCCTTGCGTGTAATTTACTGCCTCTGAAAACTGACTAGAAGGTCAGCTATGAGCCAGTGTTGACTCAATAGTACACAAGAACAGTTACCAACTAGAGGTACCCTATGTTGCTAATCCCTTGCTAGACTGCCAAACTAATTCAAATTTCCTTCTAACTGCACCTCACAAAATAAACGCGTTTAGAGTCTGTATCCTATTGAGCAATGTGTGTGAATACAAACATCTCCTTAATAGACAACCTACTGCTATTAAGGTATTGAGGAAATAGACCTTATTCTCACTAGTTCTTGGGAAAATCACATCTGTAATTTTAGTCACAACTTTTATTACTTACATTTAAGCATTTATCTCATGATTAGAAGTCAGATGACTGACAACAAAAATGGGGTATAGTAGCCTAATATTGTAAGAATATTACTCCACCTCCCCTTTGTGAAATTCCTTTCTTGCGTATGATTAAGTATGGAAACACCAAATTTTAAGTTTTTTACACCTCAAACTTTAAAAAAAATAATCTTGACACAAAACTACAAATACATACCAATTTTCTATCATTTCTACAGTTAAGTTCAAGGAGACTTTTTGTGTGTGTTTTGTTTACATGGTTCATTTTTCATAAATAGTTTCACTCAATGTAAATAACTGTGTAACATGACTTCATCTACCATCTGGATTCAAATCACAGTCACCTCCAGTTGTGTGGCCTTGTATTATTACTACACCTCTGTGTACCTCAGTTTCCCTATGTGTAAAATGTGGAAAAATTACTACCTCAAAGGGAGGCACCAAGAATCACATGACATCTATAAAATCATATATTATGTATTCATTTATTAGATAAATATTAATTACCTCCCTGCTGTACGCAAGGTATACTTTTCCTTAACTTTCCTCTGTAAGGTTTTAAAAGAAATAAATATCCTAAAAAAATTATTTCAAACATTTGCTACTTCTATATGTGGAAAAATATCTTAAAGCTGCCAGATCTTCCTACATTTTTACATTATATAAACCATAGTTAATAAAGAACACATTCAAAATCCATGGAATAATTTCCACAAAGGGTTTTTTAAAAAGGAATGGCACAGTGATTTTGTGTGATAAAATCACTGCTTTGGATTTACTTTGAGAGTTTTTTTCATCTAATATTTCCATGCTGAAGAGCATATTCCTAAAACTAAAGAAGGAAAAGATATGTCATTTTAGTTGACATATGTAGTTGAGAAATGTAGTGGAAGTAGGCTGACATACTTCCATTCAAAATCACCTCCGTGCACACATAGCAGTCTACAGGAGAAACAGAGTTGTGAGAGATGCAAAAACTCCATCTCGGAGAGAGAAGGAGAAGGGGTTAACAGTCAGAAACTAAACTGCAAAATCTCTGTCAAATTTTGAGATATTGTGATTTGAAGCATTTATACTGCACCCTACACACAAATCCACTACTGTCAAGTCCAGATACTCAGAGCATCTCTACAGAAAGGAGCAGAACTTCCCCACAGGCTTTCCGAGTCTGCACATCCTCACAGCAACATACTATCACATTTTTCTCAGTAGCTGGTAGGCCTGAATCAGCAAGCTTTTTCTCTAGTTGCTGACTGCTTCAAGGACCACACCACCAGGCTCCCTCCTATGTCCACTATACGTCAGGCTCCAAAGCCCTCTTCTTTTCCTCATGCTAGAACCACGTAACAAAAACACACGATCTATTTCAAGAAAAAGAAAATTGCTCTCCTTATCTGAATTTCATTTCCTCCACAAAACTCAATGAAGAAATGGCTGAATGTGAGAATTAATTCTTCCATGATTCAATATGGGGAAAATACTGCCCAAATCTTCCACATATGGAGTAAATGACTAAATAAATGCAAAAGTGACTTACAGCTTAACAACAATCACCAAAAAAAAGGACCCATGTTCTAATGTCTAGTGTGATAAGCTTTTTAGGGGGCTCTGGTGGCTTAGTGGTAAGGAGCAGCACTGCCAACTTAAAGGCATGCAGTCCGACCTCCCCCAGTTGCTCAGTAGGAGAAAGGTGGGTAATCTCCTCCCTTACAGTTTACTGCCTCTGAAAACCTGCTGGCAAGTCTATTATGAGTCAATTCCAAATCAATGGTACAGGACAAAAACAGCAACAGTACAAAAAGTGAAAAATTAGCCTATCTGTTCTCAAAGCTGGAGCCCTCAGGGTAGTTAAGTGCCTGGTTGCCAACTAAAGTGACCGTGGTTCACACTTTCCAGCTGCTCTAGAAGAACGAGGTGTGGCCTGCGGCCGTCTCCTTCCATGAAGATTTATAGCCGTGGAAACTCTGTGGATCAACTGCACTCTGTCCTAGAAGGTCTCCGTGTATTGCAATTGACATGACAGCAAGGGGCTTGGTTCTCAATATAATGACTGAGAGAATTCTACCAAAACCAAAGTGCTTGTTTTAAAAAGATAATCACTTTAAGAATACTAATTCTGCAAGGAATTTATTATATAAATTCTTGTTCCTCTATGTCAAGTAGAAATCCCCTCAAAATAACCAAGTTTAAATAAACATCCAATTAAATTAAGTCAATCAATAGCATGACAAAATCTACCATTTTTGTAACTGTTGACACCCACCAGTCATGGCAAGAGTACAATTACTGAATTTAGTACATACATATATTTTATATATATATATATATAAAACAGTCAAGAAAACAAGACATTTGGATAACTATCTTTCCTGGTTAAATAATATGTGAAACCATGGTGGGGTGGTCAGTACAGAATCCAGAATTGAAAGCAGGTTTGCTATAGAAGTAATCAGCTTTGCAAGTAACCTCCAGATGTAGAAACTATTACAACAAAGGAGGGAGCACGGGGGAAACCGTATCACCAGGCTCAGCTGTGAGAAAAGGGCCAGTATTTCTGGGTCTTCCAAACTTCTCCCCCACAGATGCCCGCTTACCCCACCCAGCAAACGAGGTCAGTTGAGTTTGCTTACCACCAGTCCTAGGACAAGGGTGCGGACTCTCTCTCCTATCTCTGGTGAAATGTCATTGCCAAACTGCTGCAGGGTAGTAAGGAACCGTTTCAGCTTACTGAGTTGCCTGGCGCCACAGGCTGGGGGCAGCTGTTGATTAGCCAGAGAAGAAGAGGAAGAGGAGGAAGGCCCATTGCTAAACCCATTGGGCGGCGAGGGGGCGCCATTCAAGGCTGTAGGTGAATGGCTCGTGCCATTGGTTACTGTCAAAAGGCACAAAATAAGAAAGAAAAAATAAACTTCAAGAGAACAAACATAAGGAAATTACAAACATGTTTATTTCCATTGAAACCTAGTGGATGTTTTTTAATGTGCAAATGTTTAATTTTTTTGTAAAATGTTTTGATTTCACAGGATGACTAAGGCTTAGGTTCTCCATAATTAAATGGGTCCACTCTTCACAATGCATGATAGTGTGCTGTACAGAAGCTGATAATAAATGGAATCAGCTGTAACACAGGGACGGCCCTGGCTCCCATGTGCGCATATGCCAACCACCTGAAATGCATCACACACAGAACAAACAGCATGTAGATGTCAGTCTTTTGTCATAGGCTTCTATCAATGTAACAGGACTATTCCTTTCTAAACTGCTCCCCTAGACAAAGTGTACATTTGGTGGAGACTAAATTTATCACTGAAAATTTTTAATAATGTTTTGTACACACAACTGACAGCTGTGTTTATAGAAAAAGAACTTTCAAGTTTTAACCTTTTACCACCCAATTAGAAGGCTATTTTCTCCCCACATATTCTCCTAACCACTTCTATAGGCAACATGCAAATAGTATATGAGAAGCCAAAATCATACAGTATTTATCAAGGAGCTATTGCAAAATACTGAAAGAGAACATCTCAATCCAATGAATAACACTGAATCAGTCCATTTATTTCAGATAAAATTCTATTATGAGTACAATAATCAACAAGAGCCAGACTACAAAAGTTTAAAGTAACTTCGATAAAACCATATCAAACAATAGTTTGAAGATACTTTTAGCCTCTTATTAAATGTTTTATTTCAAGTGATCTTGAGCTTGGAAGCAGGAGTGGCATCCACTTCCATAATAGCTTGCCTCCGAGAACCCTATAAACCTAGAGAAAGGATGAAAGTCACACAAGTGTTGAGGACTTTTGTTCATAGGGTCCTTATGAGTCACCTATGACTCAACAACACTTAACAACAGTAGTAAGAAGCTGTGCTGCAATCCACCAGATTGAATCAGTTCAAATCCACCAGCTGCTCCGTAGAAGGATGGGCAATCTCTTCCTGTTCAATTAATAGCCTCTGAAAACCTGCCTTACGGTTCCGACACAACAACATTCAAAATAGAATAATAACGAAGTACCCAGCCAAGAAATGATAGCTAAGGAGGACGTCCCACAAAAGACACATGCCTATCATCACGGCTCAAGGGGACAAGCAGCTAAATATCAAAGTTAACAGGGTTACAACTTGGCGCCGCCAGTTGCCTATTCTTTATACTTCTCTTAAAAGGTCTTTTAAATCACAGTGAGACACAGCCTAACACACCCGGGAGGATTTCCGCCCACCCCCAGTCATTTAAAGACCCATAAATCTATTTTACTTGTTATTTTTTCATTCATACAGAGTTTATGATACATGGTCTGTAAATAGCATTATCTGCAACAGATAACATTTATTAGTTTCTCAAATCCTTGATGACAATTTTAACCAGGACTTTGAGATTGATTACAACAAATTTTTCTCCAGCTTACAAGGATAAACTAAAACCAAAATGACTCTTGTGTCACAATGTTCTGTCATTTCCTTAAAAGACACAGAACGCAATGTACTCCACTGAGCACAGTGTTGATAGTTCGAGATAACAAGATGCTACTTACTTCAGAAAGCTTCCTGTATTTGCTTCCTATGTAATCTTTTTTTAACTTAAAGGTGTTAGATTTTAGTAAGTGAGACTGTTTGAAACAGAAGAAAGTACGGTTAGGTCAGAAGCAACCTGAAGATAAGTTTACTGTATTTCCATGCTCCATATCAAAATGATCAGACTAAAATAAAGAGCTCTGAGGTAAGTCAGGAGGCTCGCAAAACTTAGTGCTAGGGAACTGTGCTGCCAACCCAAAGTCACAAGGTTCAAATCCACAAAGTCACAAGGTTCAAATCCACAAAGTCACAAGGTTCAAATCCACAAAGTCACAAGGTTCAAATCCACAAGCTGCTCCATAAATGAACGATGGACAATGATTTGCCGCTGCCTCTGAAAACCAGCTGGAAGGTCAGCTGTGAGATGATTCAGACTTGACAGTACACAACATCATGTTTTAAGTTAAACTATAATAGTATTATAATTTGATATGATAATTATAATTACAAATTATAGTGCTAATGGTAATGCCTGAACAACATGATGGACATATCTAATATCACTGAAATGCGTTATGTGAAGATTGCTGAAATGGCAGATGTTTTGCTACCTATATATTTAATACAAATAAAAAACGTAATTAAGAGAAAAACAACAAAACAGTCCTAGCAGTAACAAGTTATAGACCTAAGGAGTGACTCATTGGCTGTGATCAATAGTAGACTGCAATTTAGAAGCAATAATGAAAAAAAAAAAAAAGAAGAAGAAGCAATAATGAAAAACGAGACAAATATTAGCATTCACTCAAATACAACTAAGATATCTTTATGAGTGCCAGGCTTGTTCACTGTCAAACAAATGAGCCCAGTTTTTCTCCACTCCTGCCTTGATGCTCGTTTTGCATTCCCTTGTCCCTTGCACATCTATCCTTTCCAACCTCAAGTCAAAAGACCAGAAGCGAGTGCTTACATGTGGTGGGTGTGAAGGAGCTGGTTCTCGGGGCGCCCTGCGTGGTCGGGGGCGGCGGCATGGTGGGCGGCGTCAGCCTCGATGGTGTCTTCACATCCACAGGTGAGTCAGGCATTGTGGAGTGCTTCTCAGTCCGATCTGTGGGATGCCACCACAAACACGTGATTTCACTCCTTAAGCACGCCGGGGTGTTGTTTTTTAAAAAAAAGTCAAATTTATCTTTTTAAAAAGCAAGAGAGCAAAAAAAAATTCAACATCTTCTAACAATAAGATATGCCTTATCCATCGAAGTTTAAATCAGGCTTTTATCATCCAACCCCCACTTAAGAAGGGGGCACAGATGGCAGGACCTCATTTGTAACTGGGTTATATTCTGCTCTATTGTTATTTCTGGCTTGGGCAGATGCCACCTTGGTGGTGTTATATGCAGCAGTGCAACTTCACTTGAAAGTGAAGCGAACATTAACAAGAGGCAGAAAATAGATGAGGAAGTAGGATGGTAATAAAGCCCCTTATGACAACTCAGAAATAACAAAAACCTGCAGCTCTGCCGCACAGGTGAGCCAGCTTTGTCACTATTCTCCCAACACCTGTCGCACCCTCTTCCGGGCTTTATTTCCCAGCCTGTTACACGAAGCAGGCTGTCTCCCAGCCACATACTTCACTTCCATTTTTTTTCCCACCCTATTTTAAAAATCATCTAACCTACATAACCACCACCGTATCACACAATGCAATTGAGCTATTATTTTCTTACAATGGATGCCTTTAAGCACTATCATTTTTAAAACTTGAGACCAATGAATACTTCAATCAGTAATTTCAGGCAGAATAAGAATTGAGAACAAAAAACAATGAACTAATACTCCTCATGTTTTTCATGAAATACAAGACAGATAAAGGGGAATCTACTGATCATGTATTAGTTAACATTTTACACTTGAGCATTTTTTTCTACTAAATATGTTTTCCCACTGAAAATGTGAACTTTTCACCTCAATCCAATCTAGTTATCAAAGCACTAGACCTGTGGTAAAAGTGAGAAGCTTTTTGGATTTATTTTTCTAGAACCAATTTTCTACAAAATTGTACGTGTACATATGCATACACATACACATGACAGTACCCCTACAATACTTTAAGCAGCTTCTTACCGCCTTAAGAACAGATATTTTATACTTGGACTTTCTGAAAATTCATGCCAGTGAGTTTAGAGCTGAATAAAAAAAAATGAGTCTTAAAATATTATAATGACAAATCCTTAAAATTATTTCAATTATGAAAAATCCAAATTACTACTATCACAACTCACCTTTCTTTAAACCAATCTTACAGGATTTAGGCTGCAATAAGATACAACATTTCAAAGCTGAAATAATGTCACTATTATCAAAGGAAGGTGTTATGAAAGAATGAAAGCAATCATTTTAGAAGAGGATTTGGCATGTTGATGATGATGACTTAACAGTATGTATCTCTTTCTTAAATCTCTAGTGCTTGTTGGTGAATAACAATGTCCCTGTACATTGATAAAGTGTTCTGAGTATAATGACGGCAAAGACATATAAGTACACTTCTGCATTTATCTTACTGTTAAAGAACTTGTCTTCGTGCTGCTATACCATCCCATCAGTGTCAGTAAAATCTTCTATCTAGATAATCACACCAGCTAGGCAAGCTCAAAACTGCCTCTTCAATAGTTAAATTCATCTCACATTCTACTCACCTCAACCAACCTCAGCAACAAGGGAATAAATAGCTTTCCGCTTTTGTTGCAGCTGAGGGAAGAGGTAGAGCAGCAAATACAAGTCTCCCTAAATAAAGGCAAATATTTCTGTCATGCCAAGGAAGGAGGGCTGAAGGGAGGCTTGCCAGAGTCTGCTGGGAGATAACAGTGGGAACTGCTGGTCCATCTGGTTTTCATTCTGCTAACACTCACTCTGAACTGTTGGAGAAGGCAGTCCAGATCCACAGATTTGAAGCACGTGTTTGCACAGACAGAGAAAGGAAGAGGAGGAGGAATGGGGTGGGGGTGGGGACGGTGGGTAAGAAATGAAGCAAGAGAAGGGAAAAGACAGAAAACAACAAAACAAGAGAGACCAAAGAGAGAGAAAGTTATCCTCAAGAGTTTTGCTTACACCAGCAGCTAAAACACAAGCTTTACAAATAGTCATGACCCTGCAGTTTGTTCATCTGCACTTACATAGTTCATGGTTGGAAACCAAAACACATCTTTAGCCCGTTTTTCTTTCTTATTTTGTAAACAGACTACATTCAGTAAAAAATGAAAAAAACTCTGAAGTTGAGAAAGTAGGTTTTTTCAACTTTGTTTAAATGATTGTTATATTTTACATTACTATCTCAATCCAATGCAGGAGTGGCATCCACTTCCTAAACAACATACCTCCAGAAACTCTATGAACTTTGATAAATGTTGGTAGTTATAGAGGGGCTTCAGGCCTTTTATTCATTACGTCACTATGAGTCATGCTCAAATTTTAGGTAATTGACAATAACAACAATCCCAATGTAGAGGGAGCTCTGGTGACCTAATAGCAAGAAACTGAGCTGCAATCCAGATGGCACATGGTTTGTGGTTCAAGGCCACCAGCTGCTCCCCAGAAGAATGGAGTAATCTCCTACCACGTGATTAACTGCCTCTGAAAACTGGCTGAAGGGTCAGCTATGGGTTGGTTCCGATTCTACAGCACACAACAACATCCCAATTTAGAGGGAACACTATTTGTAATCTTCAATTGAAAAGGTTTAGGGTACTTGTCTTGATTCACATTTGTAACATGATTCCTATTCCAAAGAACTTTAAAGACAATAATAATAGAGATATAGAGGAATATCTGGTGTTATTTTTTTTTAAATTTGTGGAACTGTCATCCATAAAATATGAAAAAATAACTATTGAGCCAATGCATAGCAAACCACCACTATTTCAGGAATATATACATTCTAATTGGAATATATGTATATATGCATATCTTTAGGATTTTGACATTAGCCAAATTTCTGCAATGGTTAGCTTCATTGTGATGAAATGGAGTTTCTTTCAACCCAGAGGTCCTACGAACTTAGACAAAGTAGGACCATATGTGACTCATTCTGGACTGTTCAATGCAATCAATCCAGGATGGAGATAGATGTTATTTCAACAGGCCAGGCCTAATCCACATACACACAAAAACTCTCTGGAGCAGAGAGATTTAAGATAAATTTAGAAAATGTGTTTCAAGTATGTTGAGCCCTGTTGCATTTGTTTTGGATTATTTAAAAGGGGGGGAGACACATTTTGAAATCTATATTCTTGAAACTTTTATAGCAAATAGCACAAGAGTTATGATATAACCCCAGAAGCATTTCACTTCATATCAAACTAAAAGAAATAATAAAACCAACATTAAGTTATAATACTTCTTATATATAATTTTTTAAGGTTCATGGAAATGACACTTTTCTTGTATGCCATGTTTATTCTTAGTTGCTGTAAGGAACTGATATTATTTACTACAAAATAATAAAAACAAACTGCCCTTATCCTCCCAAAAGATAAACTATTTCTATCGGACCAGCTAGAGAAGAGAAGGTTAAGTTTAATCACAAAGACAGACTTTACATCTTATCTCAATTTAAGCCACTTTTAAACTATACAGTCTTCCTTATGTATTAGCAGTCCAAATCACATGGTCCATATGCAATCCATAATGCTTCAAAGATGGCTAGTACAAGGAAGAAAATGTGGCATCGATAAATATATGACAGATACTATTTTGATATCTAGTTCAATGTCACTTTTTTAATTCTCCCTCCCCCTAATTTTTAAAAGGAGAAAGAAAAAGTGTGGCATCATTTTTCATAGCATTTATTTCAGTTCATTTAAGTAGTTCCAGATGGATTTTTAAAGTAAAAAGAATTGATGGGCATTCTCTATTTTTCTTGTTTAACATATCATTATAGAAACAATAAGTATAAAAAAGAGAGGAAGTTCAGCATCAGGAAATGGTACATCTTTTTCTATCAAGGTTCATCAATGGAAAATAGTAATAGAAGAAATATCTATAACTCATAGATGGTTTGCATTAAGAGGAACTCCTTAGTTCACTGAGGAAGAGTTAGTTAAGAAAGGTAAAAATAAATGTATGGATTAAAAAGGTTTAAAGTGTCTATACCTAGGGAATATTCATGGAGAGTAGAAAACGAGAAAAAAGCTAGGGAGAAACAAAATTGGGTATAAACATTCATTGTTTTTTGGGTTTTTTTTGTTTGGTTTGTGTGTGTGTGTGTGTGTGTGTAGGGTTTTTTTTTTTCCCCACCAGAAAAGATGGCAAGTAGAGTTAAGGTAGTGGCTCAAAGTCTGGGTGTGAAATATTCGAATGGGAAATTGTCAGCCCTCAGAAGAATGGTCCTGGTCATAATCACTCTGCATTCTACCAGTTTCCACATATCACTTCCTATCCCAGATAACATGGCAATACCCACTGCTGCTCAGAACTCTTTAATGATGCCTGAAAAATAAAAGTCAAGTGCTACTACTTGAAGCAAGATAAAAGGGTTTAGTGGAAGGATATTTAGCCTAATTGGTGAGCTACGCAGTGAAGAAATGTTTACTTGAAACTCCACCTAATGCGCTCAGAACCAGGTTAAGTGAGACCTTAGTTCTTGTTCTATAAAACAAACAACCAAGAAAGGGAATATGAAGCCTCAGTGGGCATGTGGTAGGAGATTAAATGAGAAAATGTTTGTAGAGCTCCAACACGGTGCCTGGCTCAACAAAGGCACTAACAAGCACGCTGGTGCTCACGGATGAACTGACTCAGAGGTTACCAGAGGGTTTTCTGAGGCTGTAAACTGCACAGGAGGAGACTGCTCATCTTTCTCCATCGGAGGAGCTTGTGGATTTGAAATGACTGCCTTGGGGTTGGCAGCAGAACGCCTTGCCCCCTAGGCCACCAGAGCTCAACAAGTGTAGGCTCCATTATCCTGCTTTTCCATGACTCAACCTGAGATTCCTTTCCAGTGACTTGCCCTTAAGTCTATGCTCCATTCACACACCAAAACGAAATCCACTGAAGTCCAGTAAAGTCTAAACCATACTGACTTTCCATCAGGTTTCTGAAACTGAAATCTTA